GCATCCCACGCGCCTACATTTTACCGAAAAGAAAGAAGCAATTCACAAAAGGCCGTCCCATAGTGGCGTTCATCGACACCATGGGCAGGAAATTGTGGGAAGCCTTAGCGGACGTACTGCAGCTGATGACTTTTCAAGCATGCCCAAACTCCTTTCACCAAGGAGATGGCATAACACAGCTCAAACAAACAGCACTCTTCCTGCATCAGCGCAGGAAATTACACGATTCAACAGATTACATCCTGTACAACCAGGATTTGGCTGGCGTCTTTACATCGGTCGATCAGAGCCGGTTTCTTTCAGCATACAGCATTATGGTTCGATGGTACAGAGAAAAGAACCCCCTACACTCTTCCAAATTCTTCATTGAACACTCACAGAAAGACCCCACACATCGAGTCCACAGGGGCAAAAGCAGACAAAAGAAGCAAGAAGCCTCCTCAGGCAACAAACTATGCATTCAATTACAACATATACCACAACTTATCATTGCAGTGCTCCGACTCAACTACTTCACTGTCGGTACATCACTTATTGAGCAATTTCGCGGTGCACCTATGGGCTCGCCCTGCAGCCCAGCCCTATGCAACATCGTTGTTGCGGTCGAGGAACAGTGTTGGCACCACACATACAAACAGCTTTTCACGAACCACAAGCATTTTCCAGATCACAACAAGCAGGATCAAGCTTTCTTTTTTGCTACCAGATACGTCGACAACCGCGTCCTTCTTTTACCTGCACAGCTGACCCGACTGCCTCCTTTTGCACAGCTCACTGATGCATCTTTTTACAAACCACCGGTTCAGCTTGAAACTGAACCGGCCAACATTTTCCTGGGTTTCGCAATAAACCCTCAGCACAGCAGCCTCACGCATCAATGCACTTTGCACAAGGCGGATATTTTGCACCCACAGTCAGCCCCCTCTGTTTCAACACTTCGCAGCAGTTTTCAGGCCCGCACACGCATGGTACGCAGAGTGACAACACCATGCAGCGAGGCCACATCAGCCATTCGAGCCATGCGCGATCTCTACATCGCTGCCGGCTATACTGATCAACAGCTGTAAGCAAAACACTGTGCCAGCTTGCCGTGCGTGGGTCCAGAGCCGTGCAATTGTGCAACATGAGAGCAGCCTTGTATTAACACAGTGTTTCCCGCAGCCATTTTCAGGGTTAACTGAGGCATCATCATGTATAAAAGTACCATGACTGGCAGATTGCAGCCGAGCCACAAAGCGCTGAGCGGCCGTCCTCGGCCATCCATCTCCAAGCACAGCAGACGCCGCAACGAGCAACCTGCGGTGGGCAGCCACAACCCACAGCCGGCGCTTTTGCGCTCTCAGTTTCTACGTGTTGCAGAAGACGAAGATTTCCAAGACTACCAAGAGCAACACCAAGATCCGGAAGAACAACAGGACGCAGCAGTGGCTGCACCGGCGACTCCGCCATTTCCACCTCCGCATCACCCTGATCCGGATTCATCGGCTGAGATTATGGCAGCAATGACGCAGTTTCACAATTCGTTGCTTGAGTCGAATGCCAAACTCGAGCGCCTGATACAACAGGCTACAACGGTGTTGACTACTCAGCACGAGGCTACCACGGCGATCCTCTCCTCGTGCAAACAGCAGCTCGACGTACTTGAAAGCCTCATCAGGCAAAACGCGCCTGATTGGTCGTGAATATGCTGCTAAGGCAAGCCGGTATAAAAAGTGCCAGGTAGTGCATACGTCTCACTTTTCAACACATGTTGCTTTCAGACAATACCATAACTCTGCCTTCTGAAGTTTTGCCTCACAGTGACACTTATTTGAATCCCGACATCGAGCCATGAGCGACTCACCTCTTCCGCCAAACACAGCGACTACAGATTCGCCGCCCGTCGATGAGGCACGACGTGAAGCTCTCTCCGCAGCCCTCATGGAGATTTTGACACAGCATCGGGACTATGAGTCCGAAACCGGAAGTGAACCTTCCACATTCAGTGACGAGGCTCTACGCGACCAATTAGCCGAGTTTATTCTGCAAACAACCCGGCAGATTACAGAGCTAAAGCAACGAGTGGAAAGACTCGAAGCTTCGCAACAATAGGTGATCAAACATGTTTTATACCACCATTGGGTGATTGCAGCAGACGGTGAAAACAACAATCGTTGTTTTGCCAAGTGAGACAGTCAGTGCACTCTCTTCACATGTGTTGTATGCAGCGATTGATACACTCTTTCCCGCAGCATTTTGCAAAACAACCAGTTGTGTTAGCACCATGGACCAACGCACCAGATCGCGATCTCCCACGGCATCACAATGGAGATGGCACTGGGCCACTAACGGCTCTTCATGGTGGCGTGAGTACTTCATCGCATCTGCAGAGTGGATACGAAAGCATTCGGAGCAACCTGATCAGCTTCCGACATCAACGACTCCTACCCAAAAGGAGCCAGCTTCCACTACATCAACTCCTACATCCAACAAGAGAAAGCGATCAAGAACTCCGTGAGCAGCATCGCTGAGTTGACAATTAGATGCACATTTGCTGCCCCCGGCAGCCAACAACCACACAGCAAAGCTGTGCTGTGAACCCCATCATTCCTGATGAGGGTCAACATTAAGAGCACCATGTTGAAAGGTCATGCCAGCCGGTGAGGTTGCCCAAGTGATGTATCTTTTTACATCTCTCTCTCTTTTCTGAAGATCAGCGTATGCACACGCCTTAATGCAGTTGTGACTCCGCAGCCATTTCTCAGAACTACAGTTGTTGAAACATATTTAGGATCGCACACAGATGGACGAAGACGACGACAGCAGCCTATGGGGATCCGAAGAGATTGATGCCTTTCTGAGGAAGGATGACACCGCCACATCCTCCCATGCAGTCAGTCACACACACAAGCAAAAAACAAAGCACACAACGAAGACAAAAAAGAAGAAAGACAACAAAGACAAAAAGGACAAAACAGTCGTGAAAACAAAGAAAACACGCAACATCTCACCAGCATCCCAATCCACAACGCAACAACGCCAACATCCACATACTACAAGACGAAAGAGGACACGCTCTTCGCACTCAACATCATCAGCGTCACCTACGGCAACGTCACACATGGCTGAGGACGCACACCGATCTCCATCGCGAGATCCTTGGTCTTCTGACTCGATTGCACCTTACGATATTGTGCATCCTATTATTCAGCATAAGCGGTCCAAAACCGCTTGTGCAAAAATGCTGGTACGTGCAGGTTTCAGATGTAGATGCCATTTCAAGATCATGAGTGACTGTCCCAACAAACTCGCTGTTGGATCCTAATACTCAGGACGGATTAGGGCTGCAAGATCCGCTAAGCGTGACAAAAAGCCTGCGCATGCGAGTGTCAGCACGACACCACTTGGTTGTTTCTCCTGAGCACACAGCATGTCCATGTTGTTTTGCATTCCTTGTTCAAGCGTTTGTCGGTTGGTAGCAGCAAAAATATGACAAAGCGAAAGGCTGCCGAGGCCGGCCTTCCATGGTACTCCATGGCAGGACAATGTTTTCGGATGACTGTTGAAATTCCACCCGACCGCATCACCAGAGACAAGCACATGCTCTTACACGTGGTTCTTTGTCTGGGTGACAACGTTCTACAAGCTCGCAAGATCTTCTCCTACCGCATCAAGGAGATCACCGGCAGAACTCCTAAAATCCCAGCTTTCTTCTTCGAACAAAACCGTCGACGACTACATGATTGGGATTCAGTCACCACATTAGCCACGTTGAAGCCGGTGCTTTTTGTTAGAACCTGTTCGGATCAGGAAATACGACAATCACCCGACCGCTAGTGACAGCGAGAAAAGTGCGCCATTCACTCTTTTTGCCACGGATCAGACATCTCACTCTACTTGAAGCATGCACGCCCCATTGGGGCTGTGTGTGTGTGAACCTCCCTAGCACATGGGAGCAGAGGGTCACTCCTACACTGTTTGCAATTTTTGCTTTGCAACTCAATCAGACATTTGACATTTACCGAATCAAATGTTGCAGGGGAGTGCGGCATGGCTGTGGGACCGCACTCAACGAAGCTACCACAGTCATGGTATACCGAGTCTGATCAACTCGGCGTACCTGCAAAACCTTGAGCTGGGGCCCCTGTGCCAGCCCGATTAGAAGGCCCCTGTGCCAAGATTAGAGAGTTTTCAGTTACCACTTTTGGCGGTTGATTTGACAACAAACAAGCTGTACGGTTGCCACAATCTGACAAGCTTTTACAACTTGAACAACATGCCTCTCTTTTTCCTCTTGCACTCGTACTCTTGGCCGAATCCATCAGTGTGTGTGTGTGTGTGTGTGCGTGTGCGTGTGGGTGTGGGTGTGGGTGTGGGTGTGGGTGTGTGTGTGTGTGTGTGTGTGTGTGTGTGTGTGTGTGTGTGTGTGTGTGTGTGTGTGTGTGTGTGTGTGTGTGTGTGTGTGTGTGTGTGTGTGTGTGTGTGTGTGTGTGTGTGTGTGTGTGTGTGTGGTGTGTGTGTGTGTGTGTTTGACGATTGCATCCAGCCTGTATGACATTGTTGTGTTTGACGATTGCATCCAGCCTGTATGACATTGTTGTGAGATTTAGTACCCAGCGCGGTCGATCACCGTTGTGTATATGCCAAAATTCGTGACCTTGCACCTGGTCATCCTCTGTGTGTACGATTGTCACAATGGGACTTCCTTGATCTTCCTTGGCTACATACACTTAGTACATCTTAGCACCTCGGGATGGCAAGCCTTGCCCCACATTGTGCCTTTTCAACAAGTTGGCGACCTGTTGTCATGACAAAGTTTTGGGTCACTGTCTTGTTTGGTCACCTTGCAGGTCCAGGGGATGTCCAGGGTCTGTTGTGCGTGCGTGTGTACGAGTGAGTGAGCAGGACGAAGGAGGGAGGGAGCAAGGGAACAAGGGAGCACGGGAGTGAGTAGTTAGTCAGCGAGCGAGTCGGTAAGCAGCAATTCGAAATTGGTGAACTCCGTTCTTCGGGCATCTCAGGTGTCTGTACGCAGTCCACCATTGCGCCTTTGCTGCATTGCCTTTCATGGGCTTCGTTCTGCCAGCGCTGGATATTCTGCTCAACTCAGGCACCCAGTTCCTTGGGCACCTTGGCTTTCTACGTCTGCTTGATCCGCTCGTTTCTGCTCCCAACTTCCCAATCCACCGTGATGGCTATGGTCACTCGCGGATCGCCAGGTTTCTTGGCCTGGCTGCCCAGTTGGGCAGCGGCGAGTCCCAGAAGACAAGGCCACGGCCCGCAGTGCCTACGGAGACTTGACCCAGAACGGTTCTCTTCACCATGCTGCACGACTTGGGCTCGAGATTTGAGAAGCGTAGTTTGTGAAAGCCATGCGACATCTTGCGCAGCGGCTCTGCGTTCGATGTCATGGGGTACGGCCGGTACAGCTCGGCAGCTCGGCTAGACTCCTGTGTCCGCCGTTACATCTCCAACTGCTCAGGTGGCTTTCGTGTTTATCTATGCCGCTGTCGGCCTCCGGGAGGCGCGAACGCAGAGTCATGAAGGACCATGAAGGATGTTAGCTGTTAGCGGTGCAATCCTCGCAGCCGGTGCTACGCATCTCTGGCTCCGGTTCAGGAAGGGCGGCTCACGCGGATGCTGAAGGAGGTTCGTGACACTGCAGGGTTGCTGATGGTGGTGATATGGTGATGGTGTCGTGATGACGAGGAGGAGGAGGAGGAGGAGGAGGAGGAGGAGGAGGAGGAGGGTGGTGGTGATGACGGGATAAGGCACGGGTGATAGCATGCTTCGTTCTGGTGAGCTGTCAGCACATTGTGCCTGAGTGGCTACACACACTTTGAGCTGCATTCCATCTTGTGCAGTATGAATGCTGCAGGACACTGGCAGATCTGCAATGTACGACGCCGACATGATGCATGACTATCTCACACTGTTGGCGTGGCTTGACCTTCCGAGCTTCACAGCAGAGAAGAGCTTCAGGGCAGCTGCGTACGCTACAGAAGCGAGCTGATTTCCGAGGCGAACACAGCCACGACATTGTGGGGGTTCATTGGAGTCTGTTGTTCCGATCAGCGTGGCATTGGAGCAGAAGAAGCATGGCTAATCCTGTGATCACGGTGAACCATGAAGATTAGGATGCAATGCGTGCCAAGTGCACCATCGCTGGTGTGAAAGTGCATGTAAGCTGTTACTTGATGCCATGCCAGAGGATTCGAAGCAAAATGATCAGCTTCTTCGTTACGAGGAACGTCCACGGCAAGCGGGTGCGCACTTGGCAAATGGCGTGGCGAAGTACATCAATTCACGAAGAAGTCTTGAATCTGACATGATTTGCAAGTGAAGCAACATGAGCTCTACCAATTTGACAGGTTCTTTATGGGCACGGTGACGGCTGGAAAGATTTTCAGGAGCTCCGGGTGCAGCGCACACTTGCCCGGCGATTTCCATCAGCTTCCAGAAACTACAGTAGAAGCCACATAGCTGGAAGATGAGTATCCTGAGGGCCTTAAGGCAGAATAATGGAATTGCTGCACTAATCGTCCTTATCTCATGTTCCAGTTTACTGGGGTTCACTGTATCACCAGCGCTGTCGCAAAAATTCTGGTGGTCGCTCAGTCTCGATTCGATTGGTCTACATACGAATCAATGAGCACCCACACTCCAGAATCGCACTTCAAACAGTCACTTCTACCTGTGAACGCTCCCGCTTGTCGATGCCAACAATGTACTTGAAACGACAACAGCACCAGCGTCCGCGGCGCCTGAAAATTCAGCTTGCACGACTTGGAGACGCCAAACAGCGTCCACGCTGGACTTCAGCAATAATCCACAACATGTCATACTCTAAAACAGCATCCACACTCGGGTGATGTGAATTCTCACCGACTGTGAGATAAGAGTCCAGGACGTGACTGGGCACAAGGTGCTGGGACGCCTTGTGAAGGCCGGACACTATGAAGCCATGCCATGCCATGCCTCGCAGATGTCTTCCTTCAGCCCGACGGAAGCCACATTGAAGCAGGTGGCACTGTAGTATCATGGCTGTAAAGCACCTGAGACACTTCGTGCAATTCGCTAATTGAAGCTGCAACTAAGGGCTGAACGGATGCAATTCAATCGTTTCTGGGTGCGTTGCATTCGACGCTTGTTGCATTCAAAATCTCGGGACCGGCCTGATGCAGTGATGTCCTCCCCTTGCCACTCGTTCCCATTCCACTTCTGCACGACACGCTGCTTATCGGTGGAGATTTGGCCGTGCGCCTAGCCCACGTTCACATCACCAGCCGGGCACAGTATAGAATCGAAGGATATCGAAGGGCTCCCGCTTACAAGACACCTAATCAACCCAATCAGAGTTTGGCATTGGAACGCATAAAAAGAGTCATGCAAGAGCAGATCTGAGGGCTAAGAGAACTTCGGCTGACAAGACCGCCAAGCAGCACGCTTGCACTAAGCTGTCGGCAGGTGGGTGAGCTCGATGTCCACGACTTCACGTGTCCTTGACAGCAAGTTGTTGCATCGCAAGCTCGCGGCAGATTGCTAGTTCAGCAGCTATAGCAAGTCAGTCCACAATGCTGAAACCACATGCGCCTGGCTTGTTGGATCATAGTGGTGCTTCTGCCGCACATGCGCATCCCATGTATTACATATCTGGTTCGGCTTTTGCATACACATCATACTACATATTTGTCTCATCCGCGCATGTGTTTGATTGTGAATGCCCATCCGTTCTTTGTGTTGCGTCTCTGTCTGTGAGTCTGTGGGTGCGTCCCTTGTGCATTCATCTACTCACTTTCCGGGCTTGTCCGGAGATGCACAGGTCCTTGATGGATTTGGCCGTGGGAATCTCAGCAGACGTGGAGTCACCTGGTCTCCCTGCCACAGTCTGAGTGCAACGAAGAGGCACATTTCCGTGTGCGAGATCAGCCCATACGGAAGATGACTTTCGATGCCTGGACGACATCGTTGGCTCAGGTTGGCTAAGTCAAGCGAACCCTTCTTACTAGTAAGTACTGCAGGCTGACAAAGCAGACTGATTGTGATGGGCAATCCGTCTGCCAGACCTCCCATGTGTTGGTTGACTAGGTCTAGGTAATGCTTTGCCATGGACTTTGATTATTTCGCTTTTGACGTTTCGAATGTTCTGATCTCCCAACCCAGACGCAGCAGGGGCTGGGGCGGAGTCCGCAGGCACATGGATTTACGGCAGACTCTACGGATACCTGAGGACTTCGGCATCGACCTCCGCGCCTGCTGGGCTGGATTGGAAGATCTCGAAAACCGAGATGTTTGCGATAACCGCTCGATTGCTGATCTTGCGCAGGCACAGCAGACTCCATTTTATCGAAGCTGATGGCTTGTCATGTTGCGCACCGCGGCGGAGCAGACAGCCCTTTGACCAGGACATTGCAGGCATCCATGCGCAGAGGGACGCGACAGGGCAACTTGGCGACTTGAGATGTGATCAAGTTAGCCTCGATGCTGAAAGCACTCGAACTGACTCCTGTGCGAATGGGATGCTCAAAGGCCCCTGATCCTTTGCATTCAGGAGGAGTGGTTCCGCAATTGTTACGAACATGCGCCGATTCATCATCAAGAACTTCAAGGTATCTTGGTCTAATCTCCTTGTCTCTACCGCGGTGTGAATAGTGAAATGATGGCACTGCACCATATTGCGCCGATAGAGAGCAGCTATGTGCGGAGACGAGTTCACGAAGCCCACATTTGCACCGATGCTGAGCAGGACGATGAAAACCCAGACATTGTGCGTGAGGCAGGACCTGCAGTTTGGCATGTACAAAGCTGGATGGGAGAGCATGAAAGCAAAGCTTTGCCAGGTTATGCCTTCTTTGCACATGAAGCTCCAGGATGAGACCCGGAAGCATGGAGGCGCTTCGGAAAGTTCTGAGGTGGAGGGCTGCGATTGTTTTGGTGGAGGCGGAGGAACTCACATAAGTCGTCGGGGAGGGCTGGCATTTGCAGCGTCGCAGCTCGCAGCAGCTGGCAGCTCTCTTTGCGGAGCGGGTCTCGGCCCTAGTCGACCAAGGGTCACTGTCCGAGGCACTGGCCTTCACGGACTCCAAACCCTAAACGAGTCTCTTCGAGTGCTAAAAACTGCTAGACTCTGCTAGACTCTTCTGGACTGCTAGACTCTCGTGTAGATTCGCGAGCCGTTGCAAATGGCCTCCTGCTGCTGCTCTTCCAAGCTCCAGCGACAAATCAGCTTTCGGTGCAACCTTTGCTTGAGCCCGTGAACACTCGAACGTGTCCGGTCGGTTTACAAAAGGTCGAGAAAGCACAGTGCTTTGTCACGATGGTGTCATTCGTTGCTGTTGTAGGGTTTACCTAGTCGATAGTATCTGTACCTGGCCGCATTGGGGCCGGATGCCAGAGGGTGGACTCTTGAAATGATTCTCCGCGCTGTGAAGGCTGCTACAGGACGGCGTACCTCGGCAAAAGAGAGAAGTCTGTCAGTGGGGTGGGACGGTGGGTCAAACGGGGCAGCGCTAAGGATTGCGCCCATGTGTGCAGTCCTGGACCTTCCTGACATCTACAAGCGCGTGCACTGGTGCCGTGGCGCGAAGTCGCAGAGACTCGCAGAGCGCTGATGTGCCTTCAACCGAGGAGCGTCATGCGCAAAGTGGAGCTACCCACGGCCATGGCAGATCGCGCTTTGGCTGCCTGCCAGCACAGTGCGTCTGCTGCGTTTTTGGATCTGTGAAAGGCACAACGATGTTCATTCCAAAAGCCGCGACCTCAGCCGAAAGCAAGAGACATCCCAAGGTTGTTGCTTGTGCGTGCCCGGGATGTTGGAAAGTGCTTTACAAATGCATTGGCCTTGCAGTTCGTTGCTCAGTCCGTAGCCGTAGTTGCGTGTTATCACATGTTTGAGTTCCTCGGCTCCTGGTCCATCGGAAAGCTGGCGAACAGCATCCATCACAGAGACAGAGAGAGAGTAAAAGCATCAGCTCTGGTAAATTGAGCGAGGCTATGACCTATCTTTACAAGTAGGCGTCAGACGCGGATGTATAGGCAGTTGGAGCTACGTACAGTGTCAAGGACTTGCAACCTTCCTCACCGAGGATTCTAGCCAGGATGAGATAGAGTTCCTGGACACTGGGATGATTCTGAGGGCGTCGAAGGGCGAATCGTTGTAGAGTAGCCAGCGCAAGCGATCGCACAGCAAGCCAGGACATCAAAGGACCCAAGTTTTGCGGTATTCGGGACGGTGTCCGGCTCAGCTTGCACAGACGGCAACCCCACTGGAGATGCGCCTCATGAAGACTTTCACAGCAGGCAAAAGTCACTTCGGAGACGCGGTGGTCTGGCACCGTAAAGATGCATCTCGGGCGATGCAAGCACCTGTGACCGAGAGTAGCACTTAAGCCGAAAGCCTTCACTTCCGGATTCCTAGGCTGGCTTTACGGATCTCTTCCCCTCTGGCCTGCCTCTGCAAGCTTGTGGCAGCCGAGAGGCTGCAGCTACGCTGGAGATGGACCGATGCTTTCGTTGCGGTGCCACATCAGCCTCCACCGCACTGATGCAGAGGATTCTGAGTTCCTCCGGGACTTGCGGATGACGGACTATTCTTTGTTCCTGGTTCCATACACATTGGCGTCAAATGCATCGTGCTTCAGCATGATTAGTGAGATCGTGGACTGAGACTGAGCAGTCTCTCATAGCTCATAGCAGGAAATCACCTAACGACATCCAGGTCTGAAGATTATCTCATAGTTGTGTGGCAGTCGTGCTTAGCTGGTGCCGGCTGACAGAAAATGACCAAGCCCTGTGAAGGTGCCAATGCCAGCATCAGAAGCCTCGATGGCCTCTGATTCTGGATTCGGACACTGGCTACTTCGGGAATTGTAATTGTGCACTATGTTCGATGTCATCGCAGCACGTGCCGCTGGTCCCCAAGTGAATGCACATGAACACCATCGTAGGACCCGACGGGCCGGTCTTTGCGCTTTGCCGCCGGGCACCCAGCTGCACCAGCCATTCGTGTCTGAGAGAGTAGCAGAGTGACGTGAAGGTGGGCATCATTGATTACTTGGAGCGAATCCTGGTACTCCAGAGTTTGAGCTGTCGGCCTGGCCGTGAGAGGAGAGCACTTTGTTGGCTTCGTGCAGCTTAGGACAAGTCAGCACGTGGGACCAATGGTTCCTTGGATAGCAGAGTTCAGCTCAACGCTGACAAAAACCCGATGCCTTCGACTCGAAAAGCATCGTTCGGACTTAGCAGCTGTGGCCAGGCTTCCTTTCTCAATGAGCACGTGACTTGGCTTGGTTTTCGCAGTTTGGCTTGCGGATACTTGTCGGTTGGCAAATATGTCTCTTACAATCTCTGCGCACGCAAGCCAACATGTGATCGCAGGCAGTCTTGACAGTCTGGATGGAAGATGCATCAAAGAGCTATTTCCCTTGCAAGTCGAGGATGAAGCCGCCTGGTGAATATCAGAATTTTTGGATGAGGACTGATGTGCCACTTTGTTCACACGTTGTTGATTCCCCTTATGATCTTTACGCCTTATGTACTGATGTCCTTTGCACAGGATGTGGCCCATGTACTTCCACATACCCAGATATGCTGTGAACGGCGACGGACAGGCACATGTGTCAGCGGCAGATGCCAGCATGGCATTCATGAGCTGATTGCCCGTGAATCCTCTAAGAGAATGTGACTGTCGGACAGTCGAGCAACTTCAGTACCGAGCCTTTAATTGAAAGGGCATCTGCCAGACTGTCATGCCTCTCCACTCTGCTTTGACTGCACTTGAATGCTACTCTTGCGTAGGTCTCTGTGGCAAATGACCCTTCAGCGACGCCTGTAGACAAGCCGGTACCTCAAAAAGGTGCGGTTTACATCGTTTCGATAACTCACGAGCGAGTCCAGCGTCGCGGCGTTGACATGACAAGTTCGTGACATGATTACTCTCGCACGATGAGGCTACATCACAGGCGAAGAGTGCAGGCCGAAATCACGGTAACACCGAGGTTGGAGCGGCATTCACTAGTTGCAGCACTGCAGAAGATTAAATGGTGGCTCGGCTTGCTTGGAAGGTTTGCTTGCGAAGTTTGTCCTAAGTTGACTCAGCTCGGCTGTTCAAGCAAGTTGTAGAGTCGTCATCTCGGTGTAAGGAGGGGCGAGTCGGCCAAATATCGCGGCAAACTAAGATTTGCTGTTCGCGCGAGGCTTCTCTGTCCGAAGTCGAAAGTCGGCCTGAGGCATCGATCTGACGATCGACAAAGCAAGCTATAAGTGCCGCTCGGCGGTGTTGTTGGATCTACTTGTCCTGAGTTCAGAGCAGGCTGATCAGTCGGTCCGGTGCAGCATGAACTCAGTCGAGCCGCGCTTGTTGTCTAATCGCGAGTCAGGCTATTTTGCGCAGATTCCGCAGATGTCGTCATCCAGTTCTGGTAGCGGTTCCAAGTACAAGGACGAAGATGCTGAGATGCTACTTAGTAACTTAGCGCACATTTTAGATTTGATTGCCTCGACAGGTGTATGCAGGAGATCGTGGTGAGGTTCTCCGATTGGCCCCCTGCGCTGGTGATGCTAGCGATACAGTGGCAAGCAAAGTTGTTGTGAGTTGGGAAGCTTGCCTTCGTTAGTAGGCACGCTTCGCGTGTCATTTTGGGTAGGTAGTGGTTCGTTTTTGTGTCACTATGTGTTGGCTTGCATCTGTTTCTCTGGTGTATTCTTGGCGTTTGCTGCATCCTTCTTGCATTGGGGTGTTAATCTGTGAATGATTCGTTGCTGTCTTGGGTTTTGTGTTTGCTTTCATCTCCCGGCTTTCTGTCCGTTGAGGTCGGCATTTGCCTTCCTGTTTTGTGCTTCTTGCTCCTTTCCTCTTACCTGGTGCCAAATGTCCCATTCGTCGCCTTTTTCATTGGATCAGCGACTACAACAAACTACAACTGATTCTGTCAGCTTCCATCAGTGTTGGATTTCGAAGGCTTGCTGCTCTTCGAGCCCAAGCTACTCATGAGATGTTATGCAGTTGTTTTTTTTCTAGGTGTTTCGGATGCCAGTACATGAGGAATTGCCTGACGACTATCAGAGTAGGGCAGGGGCTGCAGGTGTGACGGTTAAGCCTGTGCGCCTACGGTCTTCGCTCCGAAGGTCGCGGTGCGGTGGGAAAGTGCCAGGTGCTTTCTAATGCTGTCTATCAACACGCGTGTCAGAACAAGATACGCCGTTTGCGCACCACAACGACGATCCACACTTACCAGCTCCAGCTCCCCAAAAGGGCTAACCCCAGCCTCACCGGCTCTCACCCGCACTTTCTGGCCGTCCACCTCCCCAACTACACCTACAGCCTGTCCCACCCCTTTTGCAGGGCTTTGTGTTTTGTTGTGTTCGTTTGCTCTTTGTCCTCCCTCTCTTTCCACATGTGCTCTTCGCCGACACGCTGCGCTTCTCGTTTTGTCCAGTGCTGTTCTATCTTCTCGTGTGTTTTGGTTTGTCCCGTTAGTGATGCGTGCTTTGCCCTTTGGGTACGACTCTCCGTTTTCCTGTGCAGCCACCGGGGTAACCACAAAAGGCCCGGCGAACATCAAACGCTTCTGAGACCCACCAATCCGGCCGGAAGAAAAAGATGGAGACAGAGAGACGATGAGAGACGAACAGATCTGGAGCCGCAAGTCAGTGGTTATCTGCACAGTAAACAATTGCACCTGTTCTGCGGCTCGCCGGCGCGCCCACGGGGCTGGCCAGCACGCACACACTCACGCACACCACTAAAAGAGAAGCAGCGTTCGGGAGAAGGACACCGAAAGAAGCACGTGATCAGACATGTTGTTTCGGAGTTGGAAAGCATGCTTTGCAATCTGTCTCACGACATCATCACGACAACTTGCAAGAAAGGTCAGTCATCAAAGCATTGAGGGGGTGCGGTTTCCTGACGTGATGGATATTTTCGGATCGCCGGCATGAGACTATTGGCCCATGCTGCACGCAGTCATATTCTTACTCAGCCCAACATTCAGCTGACAGAGCCCAGAGGCCCCGTGCCGGATGCACGCTCATGCGACGATAGGACCTCAGTTGAGTAGATGTCGGTGGCAAAGGTGGCGCACGAGGCAGGTCATGACAGCCTGGAGTGTTGAAAAGCGGACTTACAGTAATTGGAAGATCCCGTAGTAAAGCTACTTGTAGGAAAGGATAGGAAAGGGATTGCATGCCGCAAGCTCCGTCAGGAATGTCAGGCACAAGGCCGCTACGCACGGAGGGCGAGTCGTGCAGGATTGCGTTGATTCCCGAACAGTTGGTGTCCATGTTCTGTATACTGGTGTTATGTATTTGGCATTGCCGCTCTAAGTTGTGTCTTGGCTTGTAGGAGCTTATTTTCTGTGCTTGCACAGATCTTGCATGTCCCTTCGATTTGAACATGTCGTATTTTCTAGCCAAGCCGAGTTGCCGAGTGTGGGGGTAGGGCAATGGCACGGCCCGGCTGCGTCGCAGAGGCAATGCTTGCCAACGCTTCGAAGTAAGCCACTGGGTATCATGTCCGAGGACGAGAAAGCGAGAGAATGTCGAGCGCTGCGTATGAGAGACCGCCTCACCTCCGTGACCAGCGGAGACATGCCAAACGCACGAGGGATCCGCCCCTGCAACATTGCCAAAATCCATGAGGATGGCCCGGTATGGCCCAATCCCGAGGTTGATCTGTAGGATGACGTAGTGGAACCAAACGTTCCGACTCCTCCAGCACTCCTGTTTATCTTCTGCGTACGAGTTCCTTGTTTCTCGGAAGATCTTCCCATATGTGTGTTGTGTGTTGCTGAGCTTCGGTGCTCCTTCTTGAGGAACGATACGCAAACATCGGCAAGATTTTCGAGGCCAGGACTGGGCTTCTTGTTGTTTCTCTTCGAGGATTTAGCACTCCGACTCCGAATTCTTGGTTCGACTTCACTAGCAAGTTGGTTTCTAGCGCATGGTTCCTGACATGGTGCATGCTGCTGCATGCTATTGCATGCTGCTTCGGATGGCGCCACCCTCAGGTCTCACCAGAGCAGATCATGAGCTGGAGTGGCTGAACGTGCTGAAAGACGGCTGACATCATGACGGACGTAAGTCCGGCCGCGCTGATGTCCAGACTTTGCAGATTCAGCGGAGTCGTGCAAAAAGAGTTTGCAAAGCTTGATTCAGGCTTCTGCTGTAAGACGCCATGCCGAAAGGAGTTGCCACGTTGCCCCACATGGATTCAGATGAGCTTCTATCCAGAGGCCGGCTCACATGATTTCGTGGGCGCTTTCAGGTCCACAGTGGACTGCACATCAGACAAATGTTGTTTTGGGGGCCAGAAGCTGCCAGCCACAGCAAAATCAGATTCGCCCAACTGCTCGCAGCAAAGACTTCCATCGGTCAGATAGGAGCTGAACAGAGAGCTGCCGCTGGCAGGTGAAGCGATTAGCTCCTGTCTCGATAGGGTTCCACCCACCAAGACACAAGACAGAGTCCTAACCTGCAGATCCGATTCAGCTCGATCTAAAATGACGAGGAAGAGAATTGAGGGAGAGGTGCCAAGGTAGAACGCGCCCGCGCTCGACTTGTCTTTCTGACTGTTTGTGGTTTCAATTCTGAGATGTAGCACTTCTCTGGAAAGCCGCGATGCTGATTACCAAGCCGTACTTCTCCTGTCGTCATGAGACTCAAACCACCCCTTGATGGCGGGTAACTGCGGCAGCAAGTACATTCAACGGGATGTGTTGCCTGATCTCCCCACAGTCCATGGGTTCAAGCTTGCACTCACACTCGGCTGCGAAACTTGACACAAGCAGTTGCGGTGCGTGAACCTGAACTAACTAGATCTTCCAAGCATCACCATCGACAAATCTATTCCGATCTTGAATTCAACTCTTCGTTCGGGTTGTGGAACAGGTCAGCTTTAGCCCGTGCCTGTCCGGCGCGGGTGGTGTAAGATCGTCTTTGCTGTCGAGTGCTCAGCCAGCATCTTGTCAAATTGACATGCGAAGGCATTCGTGCTGTGGTCATCTTTGATAACTGCTCGAAGTTCTAATGCACTAGAGGGTCGAAGTTTCTGATGAGGCCAATGCTGTACTTCGAACGTCATGCGCATGCTGCACCATCGTGGATCCCAAGCTGGAGCCAGGCTGGAAGCAGGGATGAGGGCTTGGCGAGGCTGGCTCAAAGGTTCACGCGCGAAAAACCAAGCGACAGCCGGCACCTGCTGTGGTCCGTGCATCCCAGAAAGATTGCAAGCAGAAAGAGACCTCCAGCAGAGTTTTCCTGTGTGAAGCTGACTCGTCCTACTAGGATGGTGTACCGCCGGTCGTCAGCAAGAGCTTGCAGGCGAGAGCACAAGCCCGGAGTTCCAGGGTCTTCCAGGAGTAGCACGGGGCAATTTCTCCACTCAGCCTCACGACAGTTGGAGTGATGACAGGGAGCGTGGCCAGTGCAGCCAGATTGCTCTCGTGTAAACAGTAGAAGCGGCACCTGTGAAGGAAGACGACCACTACGCGGCTCGGTGGCACCAAGTGCTCTGGTGCACAAATGTAGATCTTGTGGGGTGCATCACATCGGCTGAGGCAAGGAAGGTTGCCTGGGCTGACAAGGCGCTGTGGGATGAGGCCTGCATGTCCCTGGTCTCTCCTGTTCGAGTTCACTTGAGGGCACTGTGCTAGTCTTATGCTACAGACCCAAAGACATTGTTTTCCTGGCTTCATAATCAAGAAAAGGCCCACGTTGGCAGAATGGCCGTATATCAGTTCCCAAGTACAGGTTTCCTGCAAGCCACGCAAGAAGTCTGCGGGTGACCCCTGTGCCTCTCTGTGCCTCTGTGGCATACGAGTTGTCAGAGAGGGGCTCGGCAAGTTAGCACTTGATCTTGCATCCGCAATACCTTGGGAAGTTCAAGACCGAGCAGACTATACAGACTGTCCAGGAGCCTCGGGGAGTACCTGTAGGAAGCTCCGCATGATTGCATCGTATCAGTTCTTGTTCCCTGAAGTTTCGTGCTCCCGCCTTGCGCTCATTCTTCAATCGTCGGTGGCTCAGGTCCAGCTTGAATCCATAGTCAGTCTTGACAGAGCAGCAAAGGGTGGGATCAGCAGTCCTGTTGAAGACATTTGGTGGATCATGTGGTGCCTGTTGCTACATCCCCAAGGTGCGTTACCAGAAACAAGCACACTTGTGCTGCTCGGACGCAAGCATAAACAAAGCGTTGGCTGTGGTTTATGCAATCCGCGCTCAGCACGATTCCCACACGCGAGCACGATCGCAGCACGATCACGCAGGCTGCCAAAGGGCTCATCCTACACGGTCTCTCCAAGCCGCTTCGACTCTGCAGACGTCGAGTCTGAAAAGAGCTCCCCTCAGGCGCTCATGCTGATGCTTCTGTGCATGCTTCTGCCACTTAGGATCCGCGCACTGCACGACCTTGTGGGCCTTCGTCTGGTCACTGGGCTGCGGCGATGCCTTTTTTGTATTCTTACGTCTTCGGAAAGCTCAGGAAGTCATTCCTGGGGCACAGCTCTACGAGTGGGACGAGAAGGCAAGTCACCGTATCAGACAGCCTAGCACGCCATAGTGCCCTACGCGCTGCCGAGTCTCAGGTGGAGAACAGTTCGAAGCTGAGGATGGCTGTGCCCTGTCCTCCTCAAGCAGACGCCGACGTGACTCGGCCGCCGCATAGAAGCAAGCAGTAATCTTGGCTTGGCAAGCTATGGAAGGCCTTGGAAGCCCCGTGCACGCACGTGATACCCAGAAGTTCTAGATATCACTGTGCGAAGGATTTCAACCCATTGAATTGGGAGAAAGTGTTGATGTTTTTGCATGGCATGTCAGAAGAAGGCCACCATTTGACAAACGTTGCCAGCTGCTTTCGGGTTGCTTTGCCTCCCGAGGCGGAAGCAACATCTGGAGAGGAAGACATGCTCATCCACGGGGAGCGGCTCTCCTGCACAAGCGAGAAAGAGCTCTCCAGGGAAGAGACCCTCGCAGCTCTTTGAAGCGGGTAGATTCCATGTGTCCGGGCTGAGCTCCAGGCTTGTACCCACCTCCTTGAGACGCCTCGTGGTGCGCGCAGCCGGCACACAATGGCACTTCGATCCTCAGACAGGAGAGGAGCCCGTGGAAATCCACGAGGCGGGATCTTCGCCGGCCCCTCGCAAGCACTCCCTAGGCCCTAGGTACTGTCTACACAACCAAAACGCCACAAAACAGAGAATCGAGGGTTACAGTGTAGTAGCCCAGCGGCGACTACCTATGGAGCGCCTCGTTTTGCAGATCTGCATGTGAGGCAGTAGTGCTTTCTGCAGTGCAAGCACACGTCTCGAGCCGAATCTACTCGTTTCCTATGTCCGATCGGTTGCGGTATGCATTGCCGATGAGGAGCAAGAGGAAGAGCACCAGCTGATGCATGAGTACCGTTTCTATATTCGCCGGAATCTGGTGCGGCAGCAGCTGGCTCAATCTCGTAGCATGCTCGGAGAGGCTCGTTGTCGTGCTTGCAAATTGGGGATCCGGTGGAGCCCAGCTTCCAGCTTCAGCAACGGAAGGCTTCGCCCAAGCCTCGGGCCTCGTCGGCGACCTGGGCTCCCGGCCGAGTGCGTTTTCATGCGCCAGCCCAGCCCGACTGGAACCGATTGGATGCAGTGGCAGCTCGGCTCTGCTCGGCATAGCTCGGCATAGCTCGGCTCTGCTCTCCCCCGACGGCAATCTCTCTTATGCCATGTACCAAGGTGGCTGGTGGTCTGCGCATGCCACCGGCGCTGCCGTATCCGGTGAAAGCAGGCATGTTCATGAATGCGGCTGCTGTTCGGCATCATTTAAATATGAAACAGCTAGGTCCAGCTAGGTCCGGTCGATGTTGGACTGGATGTGATGTCAGATGATGTCAGTAGGCCACGAACTAGGACTGACGTGTGCAAGCAGGGCAAGCGCCGCAACCCCCCCCTGTGACATGATGATCTCATCTGCGACCCAACGTCTCTCATGTCTCCAAGAGTCTGAAGACGACAGCACTATTCGCGGAATCATCTACGGGAGGAAGCGTAAGTTGAAGATATGGACTTGCGCAGCCAATGTGACTAACGGCCCGGAAGGACCTGATGGACAACGAGCCCAAGACCCGTGCGTAGGCTGGGCCTTCGGAGGCATCGGCAGATGGACATAGATAGACGGAGCCCCTTTTCTTCTGAGGTTGGATGCTGCGCAGCGCTCTCAAGCAGAACCTCTTCGTGCTGAAGCCTCCCAGCACGGGCTCACATGCGCAAATTTTCGAGCAAGCCGTGGAGCAGTTGAACGGAAGGTTTGGAGTCGGCACAGACTTTTTCTTGGTGCTGCAATCCAGCGGGAGAACTGTTCTTCCGAAAGACGTCAGACAACAGACTCTCGACAACTTCTCCGCTTTCAAGGCAGACCTGGAGGATTTGTGTTTTGGAAGAAAAGACGCTACGAAGCAGCCTTTGCCGTCGCCACGTAGCTCGGTGCCCACGGATGATGGTGGTCTGGATATCAGCGAGGATTCTACCGGCGCCTCTTTTCTGGTCAAACGCGGGTGCAGCACTGTGTACATAAGGGACACAACCCTGCAAACCGCATTCAAGGGCAGTCGTGATTGGTTCGAGCTTTTTTACGACGACGTATTCGCTCCACCAAAGCTCTTCAACTTTGTAATCCAGTGGCTTGCCTCTTGGCCAAATTCAAGGGTTCACCGCCAGGTTGATGATGCAAGATAACTCAAGATGCAGACGGTTGCTGCGTTTCTAACCATTTCACACTGTAGCGAACACTTGAACTGCACCAGCAAGCTGCCGTCAACTGCCAGGTGTGCTCTTCCACTCATATGGTTCACTTCGTCACGTCCTTTACCCGCATTGCAGAGAAGCACGGCTTTACGCTCATCCGGATGCCGATTGCACAGCTTTTCCCTCCGCCTGCGCCATACTGGGTCTTCTGCAATTTCGACAACGACCGGGAAACTGACTTCGACCGCCTGGCGTTCTACCCCAGGCAACAGGACTTGGCTGGTCATGGCTATATGCGTTCTGATACATATGACTTTCAATTTGCCAACCAGTCCGCTGAGCAAGCCATCCCTCCATAGTTTGATGCTTCGCTACTCATTTTTGCACATTCACACCTGGTCATTGGCAGAGGGTTGCAGAAAGGTAAATAAACTATTCAAGCAGGACGAGCCTGTGGACGAATTTTCAGTTTTCGAGGGAGCTTCACTCTATCTTGTAGATGTTCTAGCTTCTGCGGCTGAAGATGCTTGTTGCGACCTGCTGGCCCCGAGGCGAAAGATTTCGCTTCCGGATTGCAGCGGGGATCGCACCGAGCTGTTCACGAAGTTACGCGGCTTCAGTCTGCCAGAGCCAACTTAAATCGCTCTTTAATTTTCTGGGGGCCGTGGAAGGTAGTCTGATACATGGCCGGGCCGATCCGTGACATGAGGCAGCATGGGAGATGCACCCGCACGGATTTGGTTTTGGCTCAAGCCTGCGAACAAAAATGACACATCAGCTTTTGAAGATGCTCCTGCGCTGGCAAGTTTAGATTGACAGAGGAGCTTGGTGCTCGAATCAAGAATTCAGGATTTTTCGTCACATCTTGATATGCACACCAGAAGCTCAAGACCTGCATCGGCTCGTCCGGCAAGCTATGGCGCAGCGATCGAGGGAAATTTTTTGAATCGCGATGTACAGTGGCAGTGTGCATCAGCTGTTCTCAAAATCATAGTGTGGGAGTTGAGCTACTGAATTGAAGAATTTGGGCCCTTTCGCATTTTGGGTTGAGGCTGTTGGAAGGTCTGCGAGGGCCAGCCCTGCACATTGGCCGCAAACCTCCTATGCGTTTGCTTCAACGAGTGGGCCGGTTTTGATCGCTCACGGTACCCTCCAGGCATCGTCAGGCCAGGTTGAGGAGGCTTAATTGCGTATGTGCTCCAGAGAAGAGCAGCGCACATCTAGCGCCGCCACCTGGTGGGTTATGCTGTGCGACCTCGACCGAAGATCAAGCCTCCGCACAATTGTCACAGAGCAGTCTCCTTTTGGAAGACAAGGTCCTGATAGTGCGCGCTGTGGTCGGCAAGACCTTGATTGCAGGTTCGGTAGATAGTGACATCTTGGTCAGCTTCGCACCTGGAGGACAAGCGCAGCCAAGGCAACAGTTGCCTCGCAGGCGGAGATTGTTGATGAAATGTGGATGGTCTCGGAGAAAACCCGCCCGCCGCCTGCCCCTCATTTTGCCTTTCCTCGAAGTCGGGAAGTTGGTCGCCATCGCCACGGTGAGCAGATGGCTCTTCCGCATGCTCACTTTCGGTCCCCGAGACCGGTTCCTCAGCGGGGTGCGGCGACCTCAGCAGGCCACAATTCGGCACGAGCACCTGGGTGGATCCTCCGACGTGTCCATAGCCACTCCCACCAAATCTGGATCCTGTTTGATGGCATCCTCCTCAGTGTCGTCTCGCTGCTGTGGCTGCTGCTGGGCTATAGCGTTTGCAATTTTCTTTCGGCAAACTTCCTCTCGTTTTCGGGTTTTCTTCTCCTTCGGCCCATGCCCCTGCCCCTCGGGTTAGCGCCATTTGGTTGGTGGGGTCGTGGCGGCGGTCTCGTTTTTCGCCTGTGAAGCTTAGTGCTTGCATCGCGTGCAGCTCCAGCGGAACATGATGCTGGGCCCTTGAGTGCAGGAGGCGGACCAGCTCCATCTCCCCCTTCGGGAGGGTTGGCACTAGCCGCTGCTGGAACAGTGCGATCGTCGCCACGATAGCCTGCTCCGCGTAGGTTGCTTGAGGCAAGCCGACGCCACGGGAAGCCCCACATCAATCTGGGGCACACACACACACGCACAGGAGCGGGCGTCGGGAAGGAGTGTTCGATGCGGTGCGGATAAACGGGCCACTGGGCCCAAACAGTTCGGAGCCTGGAAGCCGCTAGGACTTGCGAAGGGCCGAAAGTGGTGCCATCTTGATTCGTGTTTGGTAAGTCCCCCGGTGCCCTCTTCCGCGAAGCCGTCTTAGACCAAAATGCAAGCCATGGTCGGGAAGCCACCCCATGTTCAGTTTTACGTACAAAAAGACATAATCCCATTGAGTGTCCCCAACAGCGGAATGGCTGACGTTGGAGCTGTAGATGGGCTATCCATGCCCGGCCGGGCATTGAACACAAGATTCTGATTCGAGCAGTCTATGGGTGGTTGCGTTTTCGGTTTTACGGACAGCATTGAGCTCCAGATTTGTTGAAACCAGAATTTCCAAAGGTGTTGGTTGCAGCCTTGGAAAATGCGTGTGGGTTTGGTCGGAGGCTTGCTCGATTTCGGATCAGGGAGTAGGAAACAACTCGTAAATGCAATTTCCAAACCGTGAAAAATGCATTTTTTGGAGCGCTGGAATCCAAACGAAAGCACTTGCGGTACGATTTTCAGGTTTAGGGACGGCATTGAGCTCCAGATCTGTTGAAACGAAGGCCAACTGCGTTTAGCAGGCCTTGGGAAGAGCATTTGGGTTTGGTCGGTGGCTTGGAGAGCTCAATGAAAGCCTCGGGAATGGGACGAGTGGCATCACCAAAGCTGAAGCAGTTCTACAAGCGGTTTTCCAAAACTTGAAAAAATTCATGTGGAAGCTTTGGAAAGCAAATTAAAGCATGTGCATTACGATTTTCGGGTGCAGGGACAGCATGGCGCTCCACATTTGTTGAAACCAGTGCCGAATGCGCTTAGCAAGGAAATGCACAATCCATGTGGGGGTTTCGGGAGCTCGATTGCAGTCGGCGGCTAGTGCCAGGAGCACCAGCAAAGATGAAACCACGAATTGAAAAATGCATGCCTTGGGACATGCATTTGGGCTTGGTCGGTGAACAGCTTTAAATGCGTTTTCCACGTCTTGAAAAACACATGTTAAAGCTTTGGGGAAAGCAAGCTAAAGCATGTGAAGGGACAGCATTGAGCTCCAGATTGGATGCCACGCGGATGTGAGCCACGGTCGCAGCTGGCTTTAAACGTGGGGAAGATGAAAGCGAGCAGGCCTGTGACCAAACAGAGGTGGTGCGGTTCACCGAGCTTTTTTGTGGTCGGGACTGGACATGATCTGCCCCTTCAGGAGCCCATTGCCGGAATCACCACCAATCAACCGAGCCGCAAGCGACCCATCAACAACAGATCTTCCTTTAGGGAATCTATGGACGGAACACCTGTTCAGTTGCTTCCGAATCCAGAGCCCGGCAGAGCAGTGACATGGGTTAGGTTCGGGAACGCACAAGCTGCAAAGAAACGGGATGGAAGGACAGCTCGATGGGGCTAGAACGACGGTCAGAGTCTTGTTTTGGCCACCTGCTTCCACGCAGTTCGGAGCGACCGCTCCTTTCTAATCCTGGTCTGCTGAGCCAAATCGTGGTAGGGAACTGATTGAACGGCCCAGCCGACAAAGTCTGCTCGCTGCAGGTATTTTTTGCGCGTAGCCACGGTTTGTTTGCACTTCCGAGACTTTCGTTTCACCTTTAGTTTGTTTTTTGTAAGTTTCGTAGTTTCTTTGGGCTTGATTTCATTTTGCTGAAGCTTGCGGGCCAAACACACAGCAACCGTAGCAGTCCTCAGTTTTAGAAAACCTGACAGGGACTCAGATGCTTTCCAAGCGACCCAAGATCATTCAATTTCAGTTCTCATTCAAAGGCTCGGTTCCGTGGATCTCGACGCCCCAAAGTGATGAAGCAGCACATGCCGCGCTCGAATGTAACTCATGAAAGTGTACATGTTTTTCGTTTGTTTCGTTTTGTGTATTATGTATTTCCCGTGTGTTGCGTTGTTTTTGTTGTTCCTCACTTGTACTCTCAGGGATGACGTCAGATTCGAAGCTTCGGCTGTGACGCTGCACAAAGCTGCACATGTTCGATCGCGATGAAACAAGCGGGATGTAGAAACACAGCTACGGGGATGAGGCTACTCTGAAAATTCGGGTTGCGGCGCGCCATGCACTTTAGTTGAAGAACTGTGGAAAATGTGCAATAGTCACAGTCACAGGGATGAACCTTCTCCCGAGCCGCCAGCTGGGCAGCGCGGTCTTGCCGCCTGCTTTGAAAGATGAACCGATCAGTTGGCACGTGGACCCGACGGATCGACTGGCAGACCGGCTGACCGATTGACTGACAGGATGACTGAGTGGTAAATGTTGAAAAATCCCCAAACTCGCCCAAGAATGTTGCTTACCCCACTTTGCTTGCAACGGTGCATAGCACCACAAGATGACACAGCAAAGGCGGTGCCCAATTGAAGGCAGTCCCTGCTGCTGAATAGAAATCTCCACAGAGGGTAAGAATTTTTCCGTTTGAACAGGCATAGCAAACCCGCCTGAAAGTGAGCTTCCGTTTGAACATGTAGCAGACCTTGAAATTGAGCGGCCGAAATTGTCGTATGCGCAAAGTTCATGCAGAGTCCTGCAGATGTTTGGCATCACAGTGCTGTTGCTCTTTAAGGCTTTTGCGTGCCTGGCTTGCGCCGCCTCTGGACTTCCACTTCGTTTATGCCACGCAGAATGTGCGCGATTGTTGATGATGTGTCGGTCTGTCACTTTGAGTTGCCGACACGCGACTTGCAGGTGGCTTTCGAGGTGGAAGAAGTGAAGGCACCGCTCCGCGAGAAGAGTCGCGAACTTTTTCAGAGGCCCATGTCCCATGACGGTTTGATTTGTTTGGGTTTCTGATGACTGCTTCTTGCACACCGTCTTCTTCGACTGTCACCGGCACCTCTCCATGCTCCTTTCAGCTGTCTTGTGTGTATTCAGTTTGCCCCTTTTTAATTAGAGGAGAGGACCGAACCCAATTGACACGTTTCGCATGACAAGGTATGTCCACTGCACGTGCCATCCGGTGGTACGCATGTTTTTGGCCCCCGGCTGATTTGGGCAGGACGAAGGGCTGGATTCTCTGTGATCCAGATGGACTTTGCCTTGTTGCACTTCGCGAAGAGACGGCCTACTGGTATGAAAACCGGTTGCTCCTTTCCGAGCCTTGGTTGGACACCGGGAAGATGCTGTGAGGCTCCATATGCAGGCCTGAAGCGGTCCGTTCTCTGCAGGATGCTCGCGATCCCGGCGTGCACGAAGAGAAGCTTGAGCGAATCGAGGTAGGAGCTTGTCTGAAAATGCAGATCCCTCTTGCATTGCTGCATGCAAATGGAGCGATTGAACGCTTCAGCGTCCAGGCGCTCCGGGCCAAATTCTACGAGCGGACAGACCAAATTCTGCAAGAGGCGCAAAAAAGGCTGCAGTATCTTGGTGGAGCGTCCACGGGCTGCATGCCAGCTCCTTCTGGCACCTATAGCGGACCTAGCTCGTGTCCTATGTTTCCGGAAGGAGCAGTTGCGACCAGGGCGCAAACATCGACGTCCAAGGTGGCGGTTGTTAGCAGTGCTCTTCCAGGATTGTTGTCAGAATTGCACCCACTGAGTTTTCGTGGCCTTCACATTCCGATCCAGGTTTCTCGCCAGCCCGGCTCTGAAAGCAGAATCACAAGAGCTGGTGTTCATGGAATACGAAGAGTAGAATGTTGTAAAACGGCGATGCAAGCAGTCATACAAGTGGCCAAAAACCGTTTCGGAAATTATCTGAGTCCAGGTTTTTCGGTGAGTCGCAGACTTCGCAGCCTGCTGTCGTCATCAAAGAGGCGCAGCTTCTGCGTTGTCCTGTTCAGTTCTCCTGATCTGCCTTGATCAACTGAAAAATAGAAGTACACTGTTTGATACTTGATTACTTAACATGCAGTTGTGTCAGCATGATTTACCCCCTGTCGATGGGAAAGTTGGAAGTGTGGTTCAGCTCGAGATCGTCTATGCAGTTGTGTCAGCATGATTTACCCCCTGTCGATGGGAAAGTTGGAAGTGTGGTTCAGCTCGAGATCGTCTATGCAGTTGTGTCAGCATGATTTATCACCCCTTGTCGATGGGAAAGTTGGAGGGGTGGTTCAGCTCGAGATTGTCTAGTTTCCATGTCTTCTCTCCGAGTTTTTTCGGGGCGCCGCAAGATTCCGAAAGCATCTGTCATTCTCCTGCATGTTAAAGGCAGAGTGAGATGCGACGGGAACCGTGCTGGACAGACCACTTCTCTATCGATTTGCTGCGGTACCCCGCATCGTCCGGGTGCTTTGCCGGGGTCCGGTTGCGGCTCGGAGGGTCGGAGGGTCGGAGCACGGTCACCAAGCAGGCCCGCAGCCAGCATTGAGAGCATCCTGCAGTCCACATTCTGCTTCAGCGCAAGCACGTATCTGCTCTTCCACCATCCTACACACACCATACTCTATAAGGCTGTAAGAGGTATGTACATAGATACATATGTATGTATGTATGTATGTATGTATGTAACTATGTAGAGCTACAGATATATGTAAGTACATAGGTTAGATGGCCCGTAGAAAGATTTGATGCACTGCCTGGGGAGTCGGCTGAGGAAAGAACATTTCAGTGCTGACTCGCAAACACACTGGGATTCCCAATGGCAATGCAATGCCGGAACAGCATGTTGCAACTACAACGCGTGAGTCTACAGTACGGCACGGATGAGTTTAGCCATTTCTTTAGAGCCCTTGCATTGATTGAGCATCTAGCCGCTTCTGGAAGGACTATACCCTTGCGGCCGTTTTTTCTGCAGTGGGCATCGCGCTTTGCACACTGCCATACCTGGGGTAAGCGGCTCAAGCCAGGAATCTGCGAGTCTTGTGCGGGAGAGACTCGGCAAAAGCTTTGCCGATCACTTGTGTGTGAGGTTTGGGCTCGGCGCACTCATCACTTTGTTGGGCATCCTCTTTTTCGTAAGGGTCTCAGGCGCTTGTCTCTGACCCTGATGCGGTGGACTCGCAACATTGGTTTGTGAGGTCCAGGCTGGCAGAGTCCGATTTGTCTTTGACAACGAGGCGATGGTCTGTGTGGGCTGCTGCGTATCCTAGCACAGACAGCCTTGTTGCTAATATGCAAACTTCATGCTCTTTGATCCTTCGTTCTTCGAAGGCATTCGAGCTGCGCACCCTCGGGAACGCAGAAGAGTTAGAAAAACCAGGCACGGCAGGGTGGTTGAGTTCAGCATTACGAATAGGGACCACTGAGAAGAGTGAGAGGAGAAAACATCGTCGTGGGTGGCCAGAATCGCTGGAAATATTCAAGCTTCGTCAACTGGGAGTTCTTTCCGAAGGCACCGCTCTATTCGCCCGTCGGCAGCCAACCTTGGATAAGCAAAGTGCAGGGATTGGTCGAGAAGGGCTTGCCACCTATCCTGGTCTACTTCAAGGACAAGCAAGTTGCAAGTACAAGTTGCAGGGAATGGACGTGCGTGCCGTGACGAACCTTCAGATCCTTCAGAAAACGTGCTGTGCCTTCGCAGGCACAACACAAGAACCACTCGCACAGTCTAGAAGATGTCCAGCTGCCTCAGGGATCTCGGACACTGCACGCCAGTTTGATGCATGAGCCATTCCGAAGGGAGCAGACAGGAAAGGGTCAACAAGTTCATAAACACGTTTCGCCTTTGATTAGACTCGTACGAGCTTCTCCCGACTGGCTTCGGTCAGGTCAGCAACTCACTTGAAACGAGTGCTCGAGCAGCCCCCAAGCGGGGGTAAAAGTCCACAACCGAAGTGATGCGAAGCATGAGCTTCAAAGTTTGTTGGATTAAACCGTCAGTTGGCAGCCTACCTAGGACAGGACAAACTTCCTTTCGAGAAAGGCATGTCGGAGCTGGGAGACTCCTCACTCATCCATCCAATACATGCCCTGAAGGCTGAACCGGAGCCGGGTCGACCGCGATGGGTACATGAAACGATGCGTTGAAGAAGCCAATTTGGCGCGGATTTGCTCACCGTTTGCTCAGGAGACCCAGACGCCAGATACGGAATGGAGCACAGGCCTTCTCGAGCCCAACCCCCTTTTCCTAGACGATGTGTAATGCCAGGACCTGGAGCAGCCGCGAACTCACCGGAGGCCGAGTCCAGCCGAGCCCACCGGAAGCAGCTCGCGAGATTGCACGGAGGCTCTCGAGAAGGGGGCTGTGCCGGGAATGGTACACTTCTTTCCTTGCATCTGTGATGCTCAGCCGGGAACCCAGCATGGACTTGCACTCAATCTTGTGAAGTTCAACATGATGGAAGGGTCTCCTTGAGGCAAATCAAAGCCGAGTTTGAGCGCAGAGGTTGCAAGAAGCTGTAGGCATCGGGCAGGTGCCGCGCAAAGTTTGTGTTTAGGCTTGTTTGGCCATGCAAGATATTCCGGCATATTATCTGCGCCACTTGTCTTGCTTGGCAGGCGGTCTTTGTTGGCTTGATGGTGCATCAGACATGACGAGCTCTAGGAAGGCTAGAAGGTAAACCTGCCCGTTCCAGCTGACGCCATGTCACTGATCGACAGACCCTACACAAATCGATGGCCGGCAACAAAACACGCTGCTGCAGGCATGGAGCATGGCTTGCCGTGTTTGGTAGACGATTGTCCTTGTGCTCTTTTCTAACTCAAGAAGTTATCCGTGTGGGATCTACGGTTTCTGGTTTTGGGGTTTAGAGTTTCGTCACGGAAATTTGGCATTGGAGGATTTCCGCGAATGGTTGCTTCACCGGTATGAGCGCTATCTCTACCATTTGTGTTTCTGAGGTTTCGGGGGTTGTTGGCGGGGTGAGCTGGATTGTCTTTTTGCTGTGGCTGCATGGTTTCAGGAGCTGTGTTTTTGTTACTCTGATGGTATTTGATTCGTGGAGGTTAGTCAGAGGCCGGTGCCAAAGCATTTCTAACGCATAACGAGACCGTTTTTTGCCCTACCATCCTAAACCCAAAACCCTGTTTTTAGGCTTTTTTAGGGTTTGCTTAGCCGGGAAGTTGATGTTTGCCCATCTTATTCGGATTTTTGTTGCATTGAAGTGAAGACACAACACATAAACAGTGAAAGCAGACTACCTCGACCCTGCAATGGAAACACAGGGAACTCGCAGGATAAAGGTTGAAGGAAGCTGCGGCGAGCTTCTGCTGCTACGCTGGATCCATGCAGACGTCACTTGTTCAGACGTCACTTATTCAGGACTCTTCAGGCTTCAGAATTTGCAGAATCAAGGAATTCTTGTCCCAGCACTTGGGAGCGGACTGAAGCTAACCTACTCAGCACCATTGGACACTGCACACACACCCCACAACAACAGGCGGAAAATCACAAAACCACGGTGGTTGGTGTTCGGTTGGTCGATAGCCGGAAGGTGGTGTCCAGGGATGCTCATCGTTTGTCATCTGATCTTCCTGGGCTGGCACGAAAGGCAGCTTTTTAGCTGGCCCTGTGTGCGGTTCCATTGCGGCTCTGACGACCGGATGCGGGAAGATCGGGTGAGGGGTGCCTCGCGGTTGACCGTGTTGGAGTGCCTTCCAGCGACCTGGGGACGGCTAGTGTGGACCTCTTTCTTGGCAGTGCCCTTTGGGGAAGCGATTCCATGGCCGACCCTTCGGGGGGAGCCCTCTGGTTTGGCTTCCATGGCCCGTCCATGATCGAGAGCGCCGAGAGGCCGGACACACGACCCAGAACCAGCGAGGATGAGCGAGGCTTCACGGTGAGTGAGCTTGGCATACCTCTCGAGAGTATCTTGGTCATGCTTTGGCAGGCACCATTGGGCCCGGTGGGTTTGTTCTTGGTTTCGGTGGTCAAACACAAATCTTCCGCATGACAGCAGCAGCACGAGCACCGCCACACGCCAATAAATCACACATCAACACAGGCGACTCCAGCGACACTAAAATTCGAAGCACCAGTACAAGTCCTTCAGCGCTGTCCGAAAGTATCCGAAAGTAAAACAGAGCCACGAACAACACCAACATCAACACACACAGAGACACACAGACACAGCACACGCACACACGCACAACGAAGACTGCATGTGTCACCCACTTCTTCAATGCCACCGGTGCGATGTTGCCTGTGCTTGCACGGTGTTGTGTCATTTTGTTGAGTTGGAGGCGTAAGGCTAAGTAAGGTATCGCTCGTGGCTGTCTCTGCAGACGCCAATTTTTTGTGCAGCTGCTGCTTATGGTGCATGGGCAGGGTTTGCGAGGTTGGATATTTGGGAATGTTTTCGATGCTTGTTTGGCCGAGTTGAGAGTGTTGGAGGTGTGGTTGCGATGGTGTCATCCGTGAGGTTGTTTGGATTTCTTCGCCCAGGATGCTGGCTGACGGGACGTTGTTTATTTATGCTTGCTGCAGGGTCTAGGAATTTTGGCCATGTTGACATCATGGGCTGTTGGTTTTCATGATGGGAACGTGGGTTGTGTCCGTGGAGCTCGTCGTGTGGAGTGGTGGGTGATGTTGCTGAGCTGGCAGCATGAGAACATAGGTTGTTGCGACATGTTGTGGCTAACGGATGGTGCAAAGCCCGAACGCGCTTGCACGTTTGGCTGCTGCTTTTGTGGTTTTGCTTCATCCGTGATGTTGGCCGTGTTGGGATGTTGCCTCTCTATCCACGAATGCACCACCCAAACTTCGAGCGCTTTCGGGTTCGGCGACAGCCGCTAGCTTGAACAACACCGGCCAACCCATCGACAAGTCGCAAAGCTGCGTAGCCATACAAATTCAAATCATATTAAAATGATTCCATGAACGGGTTCCACTCCGCTCCACCACGATGTCATCGACAAACCCGACACATCCCCAAGGCATCAACTCAAGCTGTACGGACGCCACCCAAACTCCCATCATCAAGACAAGCAGCCTGCACCTCCAACGCAGCCAGCATGGCAGCAAGCACAGACAACTAACATCCCAACACGACAAGCACAGCGGACGAGGAACTCCACCATCACCCGAACTAGAAACCGTGTTCGCGTCTTGTTGGAGACACAATCCATCTTTGTTCACACCGTCAATCACCGTCATGTCCAGACCTCCAACTGTCGCCCAACAGAAGCTACAAGCATGGAGAACATCCCCAAACATGTGCAAACACGAGAAACACCGCCCAACAAACAGCCAGCAGCAGCGACAGCAACAACTTTTATCAAGAGCAGCAGCAGCAACAGCAACAGTTGCACGGCCAAGCAACAACCAACGCTTGGCACCACCTTACAAGGATAGTCACTGTCGCTACTGTCTACAACCAACAACGTAAGAGCACAACTAACTAATTATTAATTTTATAGTTAGTTAGTTTATACAGCCAATGCGCAGCCACAGACAACATGTGAAACACCCAGCGAGGACCCACGTCGCTAACACATCAAACATCAACCAACAGCAGTAAGTCTAGACAGCATAGACAATCGATCCAAAACGACCAGCGCACGGACGAAGCACTCCTCAAATACGCTACCCAAACTGGCACCCCCCTCTCGGGTTCAGCGACAACCACACTGATCATACCATCGCGGCCGCACTTCCACCACCAACTCACCAACATCCCCCAACACAAGCAACAAGCATCGACAACATCCCCAAGTATGTCCAGAGTTGACACTCCACGAGCCTCCTCGAGCACCACCACCCGAGAAACAGCGAACAGCATCAGCAACAACAGTTGCGCAGCCAGCAACCAACGCATGGCACCAGACTACAAACAGCCGCTAAGTTCGACAACCAACAGCATAAAAGCATAATACAGCGTTGTGCAACGACAGACAAGACCCCAAATTTCCATCATATAGACCACGCGAGGACCCGCAAAGCCAACACATCAACAACAACTGACACAGCATGAAAAATGTACGCAGTACTCAACACAATCAGCATCACGGACGAAACTCTCCACGAGCACACCCAAACTAGCAACCACGGGTTCAGCGACAACCACACCACCGCGGCCACCGCCAACTCACCAACATCCCCCAACACATGCAACAGGCATCGACTACATCCCCAAATATGTTTGACACTCCGCAAGCCTCCTCGAGCAACACCACTCAAGAAACAGCGAACAGCAGCAACAACAACAACAGCTGCACAGCCAACCAACAACCAACGCCTGGCACCAGACTACAAACAACCGCTACTGTACTTTCGACAACCAACAATATAAGAGCATAATGCAGCATTGTGCAACGACAAACAAGACCCCAAATTTCCATCATATAAACCACGCGAGGACCCGCAAAGCCAACACATCAACAACAACTGACACAGCATGAAAAATGTACGCAGTACTCAACACAATCAGCATCACGGACGAAGCTCTCCACGAACACACCCAAACTAGCAACCACGGGTTCAGCGACAACCCCACCACCGCGGCCACCGCCCAACTCACCAACATCCCCCAACACATGTAACAAGCATCGACTACATCCCCAAATATGTTTGACACTCCGCAAGCCTCCTCGAGCAACACCACTCAAGAAACGAACAGCAGCAACAACAGCAACAGCTGCACAGCCAACCAACAACCAACGCCTGGCACCAGACTACAAACAACCGCTACTGTACTTTCGACAACCAACAACATAAGAGCATAATGCAGCATTGTGTAACGACAAACAAGACCCCAAATTTCCATCATATAAACCACGCGAGGACCCGCAAAGCCAACACATCAACAACAACTGACACAGCATGAAAAATGTACGCAGTACTCAACACAATCAGCATCACGGACGAAGCTCTCCACGAACACACCCAAACTAGCAACCACGGGTTCAGCGACAACCCCACCACCGCGGCCACCGCCCAACTCACCAACATCCCCCAACACATGTAACAAGCATCGACTACATCCCCCAGTATGTCCAAAATTTGGCAGTCCACAAGCCTCTTCGAGCACCACCACCAAGAAACAGCGAACAGCAGCAGCAGCAACAAAAACAGCTGCACAGCCAACCAACAACCAACAACCCCTGGCACCAGACTACAAATAGCCGCTACTCGTACTTTCGACAACCAACAACATAAGATCATGATACAGCATTGCGCAACAACAAAACAAGAGCCCAAATTTCCATCATATAAACCACCAACACATCAACAACATGAAAAATACACGTAGGACCCAACACGACCAGCATCACGGACGAAGCTCTCCACAAATACACCACCCAAACTCGCAACCACGGGTTCAGCGACAGCCACACCACCGCGGCGACACCTCCTGACAACATCCACGAGCACCACCGCGTGCCCAGGCTGCAAGCAACCAGGACTTTCAAAACGAACCAATTGAGCAACCATAGCACCAGCTCCGTGTTTTTGGGAGTTTTGC